GTAGTATCTTTATTCTTATGATTGCAGATACACTTTATCGAGAGGTTATCAACAAGCACAAGACCTAGGTTTAAGGTTTTCTCTTTATCTTTTCCAATTATCGATTAAAATTTAAATTGGTTGTTGATTTAACCTTAAGCAGAATATTCTATAGACTAAAGTGTTGGTCGAATTGGGTTACAAATAAAAAAATTGATAAGTATTAAGTACTTCGTCTTTTACTTGATAAGCGAAATAATACTCGTTTCGATCCTGTCACTTGCTTTGCTTTCAATCAATGCCCGTTTATCAAACCTTAAATTCTGAATGAATGTATGAATAATCTCTGGATCACAATAATACTGGACATGCACTAATATTCAGAATTCATTCATAGGTAGTCTACTCCATGTATGATTATTAAATCACAGTTACACCAACGATTTTAATCGCTTTAGCATTCATTTTAGAGCAAAAAGTTATTTTTAATTAAGTAGATAGGTGAGAATCAATCTTTGTTTAACTAATTTGGTACATTCATTTTGAAGGATGTTGACTGTTAATAAATTGGAAAACATTTACCGTAAAAATATGAAGTTCATTTTTGACTGATTATGGTATTCTATGAACTTAACTAGTATTTATCTCTGACAAGTTGTTCAAAGTATGATTTTATTATTAAATTTTATTTCGTGCAACGTGCATGCTCAAGGTCTGAGGGCGAAGTCGTACTGCTGACTGTAGAGAGGTGTGACAGCAGTAAGGTGTTTCCTTCAGACAACCAGCATGACAGCGATGCTGCCTTCCCACAAGGAGGGGTGGGGTTAGAAAAGGTCGACCCTAAAAATGTCACACCTCACCTTACCTTACGGATTTCCGTCTCCGGCGGTAAGGCCCTTTGAAGAACGGAGCTAACACGTCAAAATCCTTCCACAAAAAGGCCGTGCGCAACCGGCCTCAAGCAGTTGTCCCTTGGGCTCTGCGGTCACGCTCCCAGGTCGTCAAGACCAACACTAATCCAATTTCCTTATCAGGTTCCTCAAGAAATACCCTTCCACGGTGTGGGCGGCCGGGAAGTGACATCAGCCCTCATACCCGTAACAGCACACGAGGCCAAGTTGGTCACATTCAAATCCTTCCTACACCTCCTAATACCTCTATTATCTCCATGACTAACCCTCCTCATGTCTCTTTATCACCTCGCACCGCTAGGGCAAACGATTCGAGTACGTGGAACTCGATTCCTGGTCTCCTGAAACCACGCCCTAAACTACACGTAGGAGCTTTTAACGTCCGAACACTGTGCCAAATAGGACAGCAGGCCTGTTTAGCTAGGACTTTAGAATCTCGCTAGGCGCTATGATGTAGTAATAGTGGCCGGTGACTTTAATGCTCAAGTAGGTAAACTAAGCGATAGGGGAAGACACCTAGGTGGATCTTATGGTGTCGTGGCTCAAAGAACAGATAATGGCGACCCTCTGTTGCAGCTATGCTCAGATAATCGCCTGTTCCTTGCAAATACTAACTTTAAGCATAAGGAAAAACATCTTTTAACATGGCGACCCCCTAATTCGTCCCAACGTTGGACCCAAATAGATCACATCGCCATCAGCCACCGATGGAGGGGCTCGATAGAAGACTGTCGCTCATTCTGGAGCACATGCTTAGATTCAGGTCATGCTCTAGTGCGAGCGCGTATTTACTTGCGTCTTACTGGACGTAGGAAAGACGCTGCAAGGAAACCTCTTAGGGGCCTACTTAATGATAGTCAAGCAAAGAGTATATTTCAGGAACAACTAGGAAAACAGTTAGACAGCCATGTATGTGATGCCCACCTCGAGGCAGCATGGAATGATATCCGAAAAGCTGTGGAAACAGCAATGATATCTGCTAGTAAGGTAAAGCAGACGGTTAGAGAGCAACACTGGATCTCAGCAGCATCTATCGCACTGATAGATGCTCGGAAACTCATTCCATCTGGCTCTGAACATAATGAAGAGCGGAGTCAGCTTAAGCGCAAGCTGACAAGAAGTCTACGCAATGATCGTGAACAGTGGTGGGTAGCGAAAGCAAGAGAGATGGAGAAGGCAGCGGCAATAGGTAATAGCAGACAATTGTTCAGACTCGTTAAGGAAACCGGAATTAGGAACCCGACCGTTAGCGAAACAATCTCAGAGAAAGATGGACATATTATTCATTCCCAATCCAGGAGATTGGATCGATGGGCAGAACACTTTAGAGATCAGTTCAACTGGCCTTCAGCCACACTTCGGTTTCCCACGATCCCCAGTCAACCTGAATGGCAAGTTAATGTAGGGCCTCCGTCTCTTAACGAAGTTGAAAAAGCCATAGGAAATCTGAAACGAGGGAGAGCAGCAGGCCCTGACAGGTTTACTCCTGAGATTTTTAAGGATGGTGGTCCAGTATTAGCAATGAGCTTAACCGAGGTCTTAGGTAGAATTTGGGAACTGGACGTAATCCCATCTGACTGGTCTCAATCACTGATTGTGCCAGTCTATAAGAAAGGACAAAAGTCCTCTTGTGACAATCATAGAGGAATCAGTTTGACCAATATAGTGTCTAAAATATTAGCTTCAATAATACTTCGACGCCTAACCAAAGCTCGTGAAGAACAGACTAGAGAAATTCAGGCTGGTTTTCGACCTGGACGTGGTTGTATAGACCAAATATTCACACTACGTCAGGTTCTAGAACACAGACACACGTTTAGACGCCCCACAATGGTAGTATTTCTCGACCTTAAGGCGGCATTCGACTCTGTTGATCGTAAGGTTCTATGGCAGTGTTTGTCACTGAAAGGAGTACCGAAGAAGTACATTAACCTTATTCAAGCTCTCTACTCGAACACAACTGGTAGAGTGAGAGCTTATGGCGAACTGTCATCAGAATTGATTACATCAAGTGGTGTTCCTCAGGGCTGTCCACTCTCCCCATTCTTGTTCAACTTTGTGGTCGATGTACTTTTATAGATGACACTTTCCTCATCTAAATTTCCAGGGGTTGAACTTCTACCGGGAGGTTCACTTGTTGACTTAGAATATGCTGATAACATAGTTTTATTTGGTGAAGACGCTGACAAAATGCAGAGTCTTCTGACCACTCTAAGCAACAATGCAAGCATGTTCGGGATGCGATTCTCTCCCTCGAAATGCAAAATGTTGCTTCAGGATTGGGTTACATCGACACCCGAACTAATGATAGGGAGTGAAGTAGTTGAGTGTGTCGACCGCTTCACTTATCTTGGAAGTCTCATCAGCCCTTGTGGTCTGGTGTGTGACGAAATCTCAGCACGGATACAGAAGGCTCGACTAGCTTTTGCCAACTTGCGTCATTTATGGCGTAGGCGAGATATCCGTCTATCAACCAAAGGAAGGGTTTACTGCGCAGCAGTACGTCCCGTTCCACTTTATGGCTGTGAAACATGGCCGGTAAGAGTAGAGGATATTCGTAGGTTATTAGTATTTGATTATAGGTGTCTTCGAAACATTTCTCGTATATCCTGAGACCATCGAGTAAGTAACGCAGTTGTTTGGAAACGGGTACTAGGTAAGAATGACAAATCCATTCATGAATTGCGAAACTTCATCAGTTGAGATGGCTGGGACATGTGTTACGTTTGCCCAACCACTGACTACCTCGACGTGCGATGCTCAATGGTATAGGAGTAGGTTGGAAGAAAGCTAGGGGCGGCCAGACCAAAACATGGCACAAGTCCATGAAGTCACTGACAAGTGTACTGAGTCATGTTGATAGGTATAGACTACCTGGTTGGGGACCGCGAGATGATAGCAACCGATGGTTAGAGACCCTGAATGACATGGCTCAAAATCGTTTGCAATGGCGCAGGTGCATACACTCTTTGTGTTCTCCCAAATTCTAATCTTCTGAATTCTTCATGTCCCTTTTTTCCTCTTTCCAAATTTATTTCACTGAATTATACTCTTTAAATAACATCTCCAAACCCTTATCTTCCCGATCACTGCTTACACTCTTGCTACCTCTACCACTACGGGATTTGGATCGAAAACTGCATCTCTGTGTTAAGGTGGTGTGGCAACTCGAACTGATGTACGTACGTACGAAGTTCTACGTTGTTACTGACTGACTGGCATGCTTTATGATTGAGATCATGAACCGATCGATGTTAGACCACCGTTGGAAACCTGGAAGCACTGGATGGCCGTTTCGTCCTATTGTGGGACTCCTCGGCAGTGCACATCCACGGTCCCGCTCGTGGGATTCGAACCCAGGACCTTCAGTCTCGCACGCGAACGCCTAACCTACTGAACCACAGCCGGCATCCAATGGTGTTAGTGTCTAACATCAACCAATTCACGAAATTTCGCGACCGTATTCCATTGTGCTGAGGTAGATACCTGTCTCTACCCGACACGGATTAGCTCCACTGATCACGGCTTCTCACCGGATGCTTTAAACCGATAGAAACTTTCCAAAATAACAATAAGATTAGACGTTAAAAAGGGAATTATATTTGTGAAAGTTTCATCGATTACAATTAAAGTAACGTTTCGTTCGGTGTGCTGGTCCTAGAACTATCAGGAGTGATGATTAAACAATTTTCATCGAATGAGTACCCAAGCACTGTAAAACTATCCGTTTATATTCAGACGAAAGTTCTAAAATAATACGATTAAACTACATGAAATTCAAGACACATATTTCCCTCAATGCCGGATAATATTCTATAACTTAGAGACATTTGTCTATTTAACATTACATGGGATAGACTCAAATATTCTAATTCAGATGAAAGTTCATTTTTATCACAATTTTAAAAGAACTTTAATTCACGTGTCCTTTTAAGATCATAAGATAATTAAGCAAGAGTATGAATAGCATTACAAAGTAGTATTTGATCTGTGATATGGTTTATTGGTTTAATATTCGTCTCGAGTTTGTCCCATTATATGAGGATAAAATATTTTTTAATCAGACTTAAGTCAAGAAGAAAAAATAATTTGAAACATTCCAATTACAAATTAAATCTCATCAACATCAGTAAAAACATATATGGCTGTAGATGAGCCATTAAGTGGATTATAAGTTGAAGATAAACGACACACAGGTAAACATTTAATGTATTTCTTGTTAATGTAATCTAGTAATTTTACTGAGAATTTAGTAATTTGCTGCATCATCAAACTACTTAGCCATAATATCCAACCATCAAATAAACTTATTTGACCACATGTTAGAGAATGAGAAAAAGTATAACATGAACCAAATGGCTCTGTTAATCTACACGCTTTAGAAAAGATTGTTGTTTCAGGGCGTGAATAACCAAGACAGGTGTGATATAATTCATATCGAGATAAATAACTAATCCAATTTGAAATAAAAGCTAACCAACAGAAGACTGAAATTCCGGGGAATCTGCCTCGTTCAGTTGTAAAAATTGTACTAGAATGCCAAGGTGATAACCATTCAGAGACGTATATCCATTTCTCGTTTTCAGGTTCGTTATGATCATAGATAATACGAAGAGCTATCGGCGAAAATGGTGATAAGGCCTGAAGATAATAATAGATAATATTCGTAACTATTTTCAGATTAATTATTTATGAAACAACACAAGTATTAGTTAATGCAAAAATATCCTATAATGCTCTTAAATTATTTCAGCCTTAATTTTCACATAAAACGTTAACATGAAAATACTTCATATTGGTTCTGCAATTTACACCAGCAATTTCATGTTTATCACTGTCAAACTAGTACCCACAATTCTCAAAATAAAAAACCCTGAAATGAGGTGTGAAGGTCTTCCTGTTCACAGTAGGTTGATTTAAGAAATAAATATAAATCAAATAGTTTTTTCTTTCCATAAATAGTTTGAGTGAAATTCTCGATAAAAGATTAGTCCAGTGAGTAAGGAAATAAACTTAAACTAGAAACTTAGAATATTGGTAACTACGAGTTTCAGTGATCGGTTTACACTGAGAATTATAAACGGATGGGTGAAAAAGTATATTAGAACACGATAAAAATGTTTAATAAAAGCAAAATTATTAAACTTCAAAAGTATTTTCCCATAAACGGATGAAATTTGAAGTTTTAAATTTTCAGTTATCTAGATGTTATCGACAACTGGGCATGCTACTAAATTTCTTATGTAAGTACTCTAATGGTTCCCTTCAAAGAGTATGGTATGAAGTAGTTGCAAATATATCTATTTCCTTCTATCAAATAGTTGACATCATAACTTTATGACAATTGGCAATTATATATCAATATATATGGTTATTTTTGTAAACAACTTGTGTAACAGTATGTAAGAAAGTAAGCAAAATGACCGTATCTCCTTTTATAAGAAGGGGTGATGAACAAAAACTTGTACAAAAAACATGGATTTAAGTACTTTGACCTGACAAAAACTAATTTCATCTTCAGATGAAAAATCAGATAAATTATTTTCTGAAAATCATATGTTTATTTGTCTTGTGAAAGTATCCAGGTGATTTTGTACCTATATATCTCTGTGTATACATGTAAATGGTAACTTGTATTTTCAACCAGAATTTCTTTTCTTATAGTCCAAAACAAAAGATTAAGCGCAAGGCATAATCTTAAAACCTGATTATTAGAATGGTTATTTTTCTACAATCTTCATTGTCAAACTTTATGAACGAAAATTTTAAGCATTTACAATTTTTGGATGTATCGGCAAGAGATTTGAAATAAAGAAACTGACGCTTTTATTCTTTGGTTTATTAGTAATCAAGATTGATCAAACAAATACAACCTTTTTTTTTATTTCTATTTTTAAGCCTCCTTATCTTACATACAATCTGCTGTCATATCTTTTACCAGTTAAAAACAACAGTTGGTTTATGTATCTATTGTAATTTAAAAATTATGGTTCATTGTACTTTGTTATTTTCCTTTTTGATAACGACACAAATTATGAATTGGCACACTAAAAGATGATTACGATCACCAGTTAATTGTTGTACTTGGTCTGTCAGTTAGTTTAGTTTATCAAAATTTGTTGAAGCAGATAAATTGGTGTAAGTAGCATGGGAGAGGTGACAGAACGATTTATTTAAATAGAACCCACGTTATATTATGTTTTGTGAGGAGCTAAGAATTTTGAATGTGGTCATAAAATAAATAACAAGATTGTACTGTACTGTCCAATTTGAGCGATTAGGTTGGCTATTAGTTTAGCTAAAATCTGGGAGTTGGACATGATCCAATGTGACAAGTCACAATCATTGATTGTCCCAATATACAAGAAAGGGTCAAAATCATCGTGTGCTAACCATAGAGAGGTTAATTTGGCTATCATAGCATATAAAATACTAGCCTCGTTGATTATCGGACGCCTAACTAAAACTCGTGAACTGCGAACACGAGAGAATCAAGCTGGCCTCAAAACTGGTCGTGGCTGCATCGACCACATATTCACCCTACGTCAGGTCCTAGAACACAGGCATACTTATCGGCGTCCGACAATGGTGGTCTTTCTTGACTTAAAAGCAGCATTTGACTCAGTAGACCGCGAGATTCTGTGGCAGTGTCTGTCATTGAAAGGTGTACCTCAGAAGTACATAAACCTTGTGAAGGCTCTTTACTCGAACACTACCAGTTGAGTCAGAGCTTATGGCGAACTGTCATCTGCTTTTGCAACCTCAAGTGGTGTCCGCCAAGGCTGTCCACCATCTCCATTCATCATTGACATAGTGATGGAAATAACGCTCTCGTCAACTGAATTTTCGAGCATTGATCTCCTTCCAGGAAGTCCACTTATCGACTTGGAATACGCATATGACATAGTCCCGTTTTGTGAAGACACTGACAAAAGCAGAGTCTTCTGGTAGCACTGAGCAACAATACCAAGATGTTTGGAATGCTTTTCTCTCCATGTAAATGCAAATTTTCGCTTCAGAACTGGACTGTGTCAACACCTGAACTAAGGATGGGGAGTGAAGTAGTCGAACGCGTTGACAGCTTCAGTTATCTTGGAAGTCTGATCAACCTTAACGGGTTGACATCTGACGAAATCTGTGACGGATTCGAGAAGTTCGTTTGGCTTTTGTCAACTGACGTCATTTACGGAGAAGGCGAGATATCCATCAATTAATTAAGGGATGAGTATACTGCGCAGCAGTTCGTTCTGTTTTACTTTACGACTGTGAAACGTGGCCATTAAGTGTAGAAGATACTCGTAAGCTACTAGTATTTGACCACAGATGCCTTAGGAATATTGCTGGTGTCTGCTGGGATCACCGGGCAAGTAAAAGTGAGGTTAGACGCAGAGTATTAGGGAATGATGATTGTGAATCTTCAACGACTGAGATGATTGGGTCACGTGCTATGTGTGCCTGAACACCGATTACCACGACGTGCAATGCTAACCGGTGTTGGAGATGGTTGGAAGAAAGTTAGGGGTGGCCAAACCAAAACGTGGCATCAGTGCTTGAAGTCACTAACTTCTAGTCTTAGCCATGTTGGTAGATGCAGACTATTTGGTTAGGTTCCGTGTGACTATCGTAACCAGTGGTCTGAGACTGGGTGATATGGCTCAGAATCTATCACAATGGCGTAGATGTACACACTCTTTGTCTTCCCTTAAACTATGAGATTAAAATCGCTTTATAACTTTATTTCTACGAACTAACTTTTCCTGTACTATGTATGTCCTTATCTGCAACCTTTCTCTTATATATTACCACCTCTGAATTAACTACTTTTATGAATTTGATGTTGATCTTGTTGTGCTGATGAGGTGTGGCAACTTGGATCGATGCACATATGTGCATGGTCGTATATTGTAACTGACTGATTGTACTGTACATGGAGATCCATTTATTTTTATTCTCGGACATAAAACCTTGTTAACGAAAGAAGGTATTCATCAAGAACGGACATGAATTTTCTGAAAGAAACAGTGATTTTAAAATTCCGAGTCTGTTACAAGTTGCAACCTATATACTCTAAATAATGAATTTCACCCATGTATCAGTATTTGAGATCTAATATAAACTTTTTTGCATGATAAACACGTTTATCTCAAAAACAATCGTAAAACACTTGCAATTAGACACTTTTTATTCAGTTTCTAAAAGATAATAAAACTTTGCAAATCAATGAACTATTAGATATATCGTCCATTTTTCTAAAATCTTTCATGAGAATATTTATACAATATAACTTTAGCTGAATAGTAGGTTTCACTTACTAAAACGGAGATAGTAAATTATTTTTGAATAGCAAATTATGTCATTTCGATTTAAAGGTTTTTCTAAGAAACTCTATCAACATTAATATAAACAATTCAAGTTTTAATAGATAAACTCTTCAACTAATTTCTGTATCAACCTTATCAATGGTATTTCTATTAGTACACAGATCTAACTACATTCTTTACAAATACTGAATTTTTCTCATAAGCCCATTGAGTAGTGTTAGCTATCACTTACTAATTGAACATTTTTTTTGTTAACAGTTTAAATCTACCGTTTGTTGAATATATGGGATGAGTTTCCTAAAATTGTGGGGTGCACTATTCATAAGCATAGTGTCTTTATGTATACATCTACTATTATAATAAACCATTCATTTTTTCAAGTTATATTATAATTATGGACTTATAACTGTAGAGCCTGATGATGAAGTTATTGAAAACAATTGTTCGCTCAAATATTCTTCGTTTTTGAATATTCTATGAGGGTTTTTAAACTATTCAATAAATATTAGTAATATACATAGTCGATCACATTTCCATCACTTTTGAATAAAATTTCAAGAATCAAACTATAACGAGCACTACAAATTATCCTGATTGTACCGCTACGTAACTTTGCATGAAGAACTCTATTAAGATCTTTGAAAATTGGTGGTTTGAATATTTAAAGTAATAAATTTCTTTCCAACATATCATCTGATTGCTTATTAAAAACCACCAATTTTGAAACATGCTAACTTCGGATTACTTGCTTATTGAATAAGTAACATAAGTCTCGTAGAATGACGTTAGTTTGGCTACCTAGAAAAGTGACAACAATTCTGTGTTTTGTTTCTTAGCTGAAAGTGAATTATGTTAAGTGTGTATGTGCCGCTCAAGAAGTAGTTTGGAATTTAACTGATCAGAATCTTGAAATATGTACATATAATTAAACAACTGGACCATATTTGGGAAACTCTAATATGGAAATAATGGTATGCGTTTTAAACTCCCAGACTTTTTCAGTTATTTGATTCTTAATGAATTTTTTTAGATTAGCATTAACAGTTCAATATTAGTTAAATATTGTTCTCATGTACAGATCTGCACATCTATTTTAAAACGTCTGCATCAACAGTAAATCTTCTTGGTTTCAATACCCTGGTCTATCCAAATCTGAAGTTCAAACTTGATAATTTACTTACAAAACCCATTCCGAAATTCCAGTTCTTCGAATTCAGAACTACTAGGAAGAGTGATGGAATATATAATAAAAATAATTAAAGCTGTTAATCATAAACGAAATATTTAACTAAGATTATATAGCTTATTAAATTATCAGATGAGAAATAACTGATCACGGATGAGAATAAATATCACAAATCAATCAACATTTTTTTGTTTCGATTCATTTCAGCATATAGATATTGAACAGGAGTAACATCTGTGCTACCATGAATTGACCTGTATTCAAACCTCAAAACGAAGTGATCGAAAAATGGAATCTTATTTACCTTTATGTCCTGCAACTAAATACTCATTGATAGTTTTCACCTGTACAAATATACCTCTAGGTATCTTTTTTCAATTATCGACAAAAATTGAGACCAATTATCATGTCAATAAGCAGACTGCCATTATGACTACCGTTTTAAATTTTCTAAATGCTGACATTCGTTAAATCAATTTTTGTGGGACAAAATATAAGCGACTTTGAAAATATATTTTACATTAACCCAGTCTACATTCAGAATACGGTAATTTAGATTTTCGTATGTTCCATCGTTTCTGTTGAATGAAGTGTTAGTTATATTCAGTTTTATTTAAATCTTAATTGTGAACTAACAGATTTTTGAGCAAAATCTTTTCAAATGCACTTTTATATTCATTTCTAATGGCCATTTTCATTTAATCCTCACTTGGTACAACAAACAATTTAATTAACACTTTATATTCACTCATTTTGATTGTTTTCCAAGATTTCATGTTTTAAATAATAAAAAGATATTTCTCTAAGGATTACTTCGTAATCAGCATTGTGTTTTCTTAACATTCAAAAACAAGTGACTTTATTCTGATCATCAAGATTTTATGTTGAAAAGTCAAAATTACTTTGAGTTTGATTATAATTATTGAGAACAAGAATGTACCATACAGAGTGGACGTATCGCTTTACTGTATTTTAGTTGGTTTATGCTTCGTTTTTCATTAATTTCATTCGCGATACCCTACATTCTCTGTAACACATAAAATTTTTTTGTCAATCTAAGCCAAATCTAATTTTTATGAATGTAAATAATTTTATTAGTGATATTTTGTTACTATAATGGAAAGAAAACCTATTATAACATACCAAGGGGTCAATGATAAATATTTGACTTGAATGAGCCCATTTAACACTCAATATATAACGATTTATATCGTCAAACAGTTGTTTAGTTGAAGCACGACGAAATGGTAATGCCCAATTAGGTTTTAAGAAATTTTCAGTTAACATTCTACCTGGAACAAGAAAAGAAGGCCATCTTGTTGTATAAAACATCCATTTCATTGAATTAAAATCTTGTAAATACATGGTCTGCACATTGGTCATTATTTGATCCATTAATGAAGTAGTTGAATCATTACAGTTATTGAAATGTTCAAATTTTTCATTGAAGTTATTTTGTGTTTTTATTGAATATTCATTCATAAAACTGATTTGTTGTGAAATAGATTTTTGGTTTAAATGTGTAATAAAAATGTCAGGTAATCCAATATTTAAATGACCATAGTATTTCTGTTCACAGTGACTATTCCATGCATAATTACATGTTTCCATAAAATAATAAGTTACATTCATTGGTTTATTTATATTTGTCCATATGATTGTAATTTCTTTCAAATTTATCGTAGACGAATGATGAACATAGTTAAGAACGTTGAAATTGTTGTTTTTCATTTTTCTCATTGTCTTTAACTCTTCATTTATATTTAAGTATGATTGTACTGTTTGACTTTCTTCCTCTAATGTTGATATTGATGATAAATTGGAAGAGATAAAAGGAGATGATGTGACTGGGTCTATTTCATTGTAGTGACCGTTTAGTTCTATATTCTGTACAAATGTAAAATGAAATAATGTTGTTTAATTAGGCAGATTTCCGAAGTGGTTACTGATAACTAAAAAACAACATATCAAGCATATGGTTAATAATGTAATTTTTTGATTGAATTGTGATAAATTAGATTTGCGTATAAATATCATAAAAGTCTTAAGTGAATTTACGAAAAACAGAGAGAAAGATTTTAGTAATTTCAATAGTTGAAATCATGAGTCAGTTGAAGCTAAACCGCCATGGAAAACCTGGAAGCACTGGATGGCCGTTTCGTCCTATTGTGGGACTGACTTTAAGAGGTATATCCTTGAGTTCTAGTGAGAAGTAGTGATCAGTGGAGTTCAACCAGGTCTATTGTGAGATAGTAACTCACAGAAGACAATGGTGAATGTGTCGCTCAATTTCATGGGTTAGTTGAAGTTAGACATTAATATCGTTGGATGCCGGCTCAGTGGTCTAGCGGTTAAGTGCTCGCGCATGAAACCAGTAGGTCCTGGGTTGGAATCTCGCAGGAGGCGAGTTCGTTGGTGCGCACTGCTGAGGAGTCCCACAATAGGTCGAAACGTCCGTCCAGTGCTTCCAGGTTTTCCATGGTGGTCTAGTTCCGATTGATTCATGATCTTAACTATTGAAAATACTATAATATCCACAGAACCCATCTGATATTAAAAATGTAATAATTTATAACTTCGATTAAACATCACGGTTGAATGAATACCCTACAATAACAAATAAATGAATGTAACAGTGGTACTGAGTAAGACATGAGGAAGCAATCGGTGTATATATCACAATTTCACTGAAAATGCTTATCACTATAACCAATTTCAAATTACTTCAAGACTAAACTATTCACTGTTAGTCTTCAATGTAAAGGTTTTTTTTTCTAATTGATTTATCCCTTAAGGGATATTGGTGTGAACTGAGAAAATAAAATGATACAATTATTTAGAATTTCTGTCCTTTCAACTGTTTGTTCTACTTAATAATTAAATGAATTTATAGGTCAACTTTATTCATTTAAATTATCTTTATATTAAAATTCGAAATGATAATTTAATGAGAATAAATAGTTGATCTCAATCAAACACGATTATACTGTGATTAAATTATACTTAGGAATTATATAGTTACTAATCCTCAGCTAGTTTACTAGTAAAGCTCATAAAATTTTGATCGATAAAGATAACGAAAGAATAAACTATCGTATTATATACTTCTACTCTTCTTTTTAGATGAACAAATGATGTGAAAGTATCTCTTTTACTGCAGATTATTTTAATCAATGAATTCTGTGGGATAAATAATGTGCAGAATTTACTCTGAATTTTTTCGGATTAAGAACATCAGTAAATATTTGTAACAACATCATTTGAACTATCCTTGGATAATGATAAAAGATAAATTCTCTCAGTGTACAGTATTATTGGGGTGGGTAACGAAAGCAAAAGAGATGGAAAAGGCGGTGACTATAGGGAACACAAGACAGCTTTACAGACTAATAAAAGAAACTGGAATTAATAAGTCAAGTATAATTGAGATTATTTTGGAAAAAGACGATACTCTCATCTGCTCCCAGTCCAGACGTTTAGAACGATGGGCGGAACATTTTAGAGAACAGTTCAACTGGCCTTCAGCTACTCTAGAACAACCCTCCATTCCCGACAGTGTGAATAGAACACTGAAGTAGGTCCCCCAAGTCTAGCAGAAGTTCAAAAGGCTATAGTTAATATGAAACGAGGAAGAGCAGTTGGTCCAGATGGATTGACTCCAGAGGTCTTTAGGGAGGGTGGTCCAATTTTAGCGATTAGGTTGGCTATTAGTTTAGCTAAAATCTGGGAGTTGGACATGATCCCATGTGACAAGTCACAATCATTGATTGTCCCAATATATAAGAAAGGGTCAAAATCATCCTGTGCTAACCATAGAGGGGTTAGTTTGGCTATCATAGCATATAAAATACTAGCCTCGTTGATTATCGGACGCCTAACTAAAACTCGTGAACTGCGAACACGAGAGAATCAAGCTGGCTTCAGACCTGGTCGTGGCTGCATCGACCAAATATTCACCCTTCGTCAGGTCCTAGAACACAGGCATACTTATCGGCGTCCGACAATGGTGGTCTTTCTTGACTTAAAAGCAGCATTTGAATCAGTAGACCGCGAGATTCTGTGGCAGTGTCTGTCATTGAAAGGCGTACCTCAGAAGTACATAAACCTTGTGAAGGCTCTTTACTCGAACACTACCAGTTGAGTCAGAGCTTATGGCGAACTGTCATCTGCTTTTGCAACCTCAAGTGGTGTCCGCCAAGGCTGTCCACTATCTCCATTCATCATTGACATAGTGATGGAAATAATGCTCTCGTCAACTGAATTCTCGGCATTGATCTCCTTCCAGGAAGTACACTTATCGACTTAGAATACGCATATGACATAGTCCTGTTTGGTGAAGACGCTGACAAAAGCAGAGTCTTCTGGTAGCACTGAGCAACAATACCAGGATATTTGGGATGCTTTTCTCCCCATGTAAATGCAAATTTTCGCTTCAGAACTGGACAGTGTCAACACCTGAACTAAGGATGGGGAGTGAAGTAGTCGAACGCGTTGACAGCTTTAGTTATCTTGGAAGTCTGATCAACCTTAACGGGTTGACATCTGACGAAATCTGTGGACGGATTCGAGAAGCTCGTTCGGCTTTTGCCAACTGACGTCATTTACGGAGAAGGCGAGATATCCATCAATTAATTAAGGGATGAGTATACTGCGCAGCAGTTCATTCTGTTTTACTTTACGACTGTGAAACGTGGCCATTAAGTGCAGAAGATACTCGTAAGCTACTAGTATTTGACCACAGATGCCTTAGAAATGTTGCTGGAGACTGCTGGGATCACCGGGCAAGTAAAAGTGAGGTTAGACGCAGAGTATTAGGGAATGATGGTTGTGAATCTTCAACGACTAAGATGATTGGGTCACGTGTTTTGTGTGCCTGAACACCGATTACCACGACGTGCAATGCTAACCGGTGTTGGAGATGGTTGGGAGAAAGTTAGGGGTGGCCAAACCAAAACGTGGCATCAGTGCTTGAAGTCACTAACTTCTAGTCTTAGCCATGTTGGTAGATGCAGACTATTTGGTTAGGTTCGTGTGACTATCGTAACCAGTGGTATGAGACTGGGTGACATGGCTCATAATCCAACACAATGGCGTAGATGTACACACTCTTTGTCTTCCCTTAAACTATGAGATTAAAATCGCTTTATAACTTTATTTTTACGAACTAACTCTTCCTGTACTATGTATGTCCTTATCTGCAACCTTTCTCTTATATATTACCACCACTGAATTAACTACTTTTATGAATTTGATGTTGATCTTGTTGTGCTGATGAGGTGTGGCAACTTGGATCGATGTACATATGTGCCTGGTCCTACGTTGTAGCTGACTGACTGACTTACTAGGGTTTTCATAATAATAGTGGGCTAAATGCCATATAATCAAATCGTGTTAGTCTACTTCCTATAGATGAATCATTATATCCTTGACAAGAATGATTGAAATGTTTTGTCTAAAATGGTACTTATTCAGTGTCTATTTATGTTTTGTAATAATGATAGATTGAGCAGATCAGGTAGAGTTGGCCAATACACAATTCATTATTTTTTCTTAGCTAGACATTAAAACTCTGGTAGGGTAGAACTAAGTACATTGACATCAATAATTGCTTGTACGTTTAATTCATCATATAAATATTTTAACATATTTTAATTGTTAACTTCAAACTAACTATTGAAAGCAGGATCTTTTGGTATTATGGTGGTTATCATTAACAGCAATAGTAACCTACAAGGAAACTGATACTGTTTAAACATGACGTGATGTTTCATTGAATAAGTGTATATTAAGATTGTAAAAAAACACCAAACACATATCCTTTTGAAAAAATAGAAATTCTATCCATTGTTCAAATAATCTCAATAAATTACATTAAGATGACTATATAGTAATTTATAATTTGTAAACCAAAACTGTCTGTAATAGAATGTAGCCAGAGTTCAGTATGTCAAAATACAAACTTGACTGAAGCATGTAGCCACTAGTGAAAAGAACAATATAGTTTCGACCTATGAAATTTTTGACTTTAATTTCTAACTTTTTGAAGAAAGATTTAGATCTGTTCGAAGTCAGCTTAAAATATTATTTAAAATCAAATTTATCACTTTATAATTCTTTCATAACCGTCGTCAATATTCTGATAATCCTCACTAATAGTGACATGAAGTTTGTACATTGATTCAAAAGAATGATTACTAGTTGATAAATCCTCTAATTGAACGCTAGATTCGGTTTCCTAAATTTTTCCAGTAATCCTCAGGCTAAATCAATACGGCAACTAAATACGAAAGAAAAGGCGCGATATATGGAAAAAAGATCTTATTCCAAGACTCGTTTATATACAAAGACAATCCCAGAGAACAGTCCTGTCCAGCGAATCGAAGGCAGCCTATGACAGGCAGCACTATGACCACTCGACCAGAACGAAACCCAGCCTGCTCCTCGCGAGTCGATCTTTCTCGGGTTTTGAACAACCTACGAAGTATGACGGAAGCCAATAGCTTGGACGCGATCGGAAATAGACTTATCCCCCGATAGTTGTTACAGGAACGACGTGAGCCCTTTTTAAAGATAGGGACAACTATCGACTCATTCCATGACGTTGGTATACTCTCTAAGTCCCACACCTTTGTAAATAACGTCGTCAGTTCCTTAGTCAGAAAGTCACCACCATCTTTAAAAAGAGCCGGAGGTAAGTCATGTGGGCCCGGTGATTTGTAGCGCTTCAAGAGTTGGAGCTCCTTGCGGACTTCCGCCTCATTTGGTGGATCAGTCGTCACCGAGCATGCAGGGCAGGACAGTCTGAATGATGCTGCCAGAGCAGCAGGCCATTTGAACTGCCCTTCGAAGAATTCCTTCAATCGTCCAAGACGTCGATGGATGTTAGT